TAACATGTTAAGCTTCCTTAATCAATGCCGTTGCTTGCAACATCATTTATTTCAAAGTTGTTTGCTAGAATCAAGATGATGATTGATTTTATTTTATTTATATATCCTATAATTTTTTTTAAGACATTGATTGATATATATTTTAGTTCAACAAACTGTATAATATACTTATTAAAAAAATCACTATTTTTTAGTCTAAAGTTAGAAGCAAACAAATTTAAAGTTGCAACAATCAATGCAAAATGTAAGAATCAGCTGAATTTGTTATATTTATATTGTATTTTTATACCTAAATCAAGATGAATGTTAGATTTTGTGTTGGACCGAGTGTTTATTAATCATTTTCTTATATATATAAAAAAAAAAGCACATCTCCTCTTTCACATTTATAAGGGTATTTGGATTAGCTATTTATTACTAATAACTTATAGTTAATATTCAACGATTAATAATTATTATTATTTATAATCCAAAGTATTTAATATATTCAATTAGAATTAAAAACTAATAACTATTTACAAAATAATAAAGCAATCCCTCCTAAAGTTAGCTTAGTGCAAAATAATCTATCATTTCTGGAGGGAAAGGAATAATTGATTTCATAAGGCATTTTTCAATTTGGTAATGCCCTTTTAAGTGACATTTGGGCAAATGTTCGATCGTTTGCTGGGGTTTGTTAATATGAAGGCCTCTCCAATGTCATGGAGTATTGCCTCAAATTGGGGTTTAGAGATACTGTGTATAGGAGGAAGAGACTGATCCTTTTAGCTAGACTTGCTTATTTTTTGTAACTAGATTCTGGTAGCAGCCTAGAAAGCTAGTACTGCTTTGTGTATATATATATATATATGTTTTTTTTTTTTTTTAATAATTGTCTTGAGATAGGATTGAACCATTGCCTGAGAACGGAGGAAGGTGAACCTTTACAAAAGTGGCGGATGCCACTTAATTCTATGGGCAGGTCTGTTTTATACATATATTTTGATATTAAAGGTAATAAAATTCCCATTTTACCTTAAGAAAAAAAAAACAAAAACAAACGCTCCTTTTTCTTTTTTCGATGATTATTTAATCTCACCTTTAAATTCTCAGCTCTTATATATTAAACCCTATTCTATCCATTCTCATCGATTCAAACCGCCTTGTACCAAACAAACTTGTTTCAACTTCAAAAAAATGGTAGTACGAGCTGGTGCTGGTAGCGGAGGTCATCGTGGCGGTCTTCCCATCATCAAGTCTCTTGCCACTCAAATTATCACTGGCCCATGGTTCATGTTCTTCGCCTCGCTCCTCATTTCATCCACTACGGGTGCCGCACAAATGTTCGGCCTCTATTCCGGCGACATGAAGAATGTCCTAGGGTACAACCAGACCACCATCAACCTTCTCAGTTTCTTCAAGGACCTCAGTACTACCGGCATCCTTGCCGGATTAATAGCCGAGGTAACCCCTCTGTGGTTCGTGCTCTTCGATGGTGCAGTGTTAAATTTCTTCGGCTTCTTCATGATCTGGCTCGCCATGACGAAAAGAATCCCACCACCGTCGGTCTGGCAAATGTGTCTATATATCTGCATTGGCTCCAATGCTAGGGCGTTCCCCGACACTGGATGTTCAGTCACGAGCGTAAAGAATTTTCCGCGGAGCCGCGGTGTCATTTTGGGGATTCTTAAGGCTTATTACGGCCTCAGCGCGGCAATAATAACACATTTGTACCAAGCTCTTTACGGCGATGACTCTAAAGAGTTGATTTTGCTGATTGGGTGGTTACCGGCGATCATAACGTTGGTTTTTGTTCGGACTGTCAGGATCATGAAGGCGAGCCGTCAGGGTCAGGCTAACGATTTGAAGGTGTTTTACAAGTTTTTTTACGTTTCTCTCTGCCTGGCTGCGTTTTTGATGATTATAATCGTGGTGGAGAAGAAGGTGACTTTCACTCAGGGAGAATACGGTGGAGCTGCAGCCGTGGTTCTTATTTTGCTGTTTTTCCCGATTGTGATTGTAATTGCGGAGGAGTTGAAGGTCTGGAAAGCCGAACAAGCCATCCTGGACGATCCTTCTCCTATGGAAGTAATCACAGAGACGCCGACCCCAGAAACGGTAGCATCGTTACACCAACCCGCATCATCGTCCGAAGCCGTTGAAGCAAAGGTTGATCAAGATCAAGCAAATGTTTCATGCTGGAAAACTGCTTTCCAACGACCCAATAGAGGGGAAGACTACACCATTCTACAGGTTATAACCTAACAAATTCCAATTTACATAGCTTATGCGAGGATTTCAATTCTTAATCTTAACTTGATAATCTAGGTTTTAAAAGTAAGTCAGCATGTCAGCATATTTTTACACAACTCTAATTAAAAAAGAAAAAATTGAGTAATATACATTCTAATTCAATATACTACATAATATATTTATTAAAAAATTATTATTTCTTTACCTAAAATTAAAGGTTGATAAATATAAAAATACATTTATACATACAACATTCAAAAAATAATTAAATTAGTTTTACTTATATTATATTTTAATAATTAAATTGAACAATAATAAAAAAAAGTCAAATTAGAGGGTGTATCAGTTTTTTTTATCCATAAACATTAATTTGATGCAAAAAAATTGTCTTCTTACTTTTATTTAACTATAGGTTAAATGTTAATTTAGTCTCTAAACTTTAACTTTTGAACACTTTTGGTCCTTAAATAATTTTAGTTCCTAAACTATTTTGAAATATTTTAAATGACCACACGTAACTTAACTAACAAAAGGCTATAAAAAAAATGCAAGTTATAGATTAAAAATATATTATACAATTTAAACTATTTTAAACTATAAAACACATACTCTCTATAATGAGTTAAGCAATAAAAAGGTGTTTAAAATAGTTTATGGACTAAACATGTTCAAAAGTTAAAATTTAAAAACTAAAATTAACATTTAACCTTAACTTTATACAAATTTACTTATGCCAATGAAATAATTAAACATTTTGGATTAATGTATCCTACAAGGGTAAATCAAACTGTTAATTGGTTTTCAAAATATTAACTTCACTAAAAATTATAGACTTGTGAAAATGTTCTTTATTTTTAATTTATCCTCCTTTTTTTATGCTAGCAACCTCTATGGTCTATTTTACTTATTTCATTATTATTTAGTACGATTATAGAAAGAATTAATAAAATTTATAAAAACACATTTATTACTAACTAAAATTTCATATTTACTCTTATTAATAAGGGTAGTTGGACAGGTAAAATATTTTTTTAAAAATGATATAATTATTAATAGGGATTTAAATTAAAATTGACAAATAAATTAGACAATATTTTTTTAAAAAGTGTGATAAATAAAATGATTCTAGAGATAGTAATTTTTATAAGAACTCATGATTAAACTTGAGAGTTGGTAATTTTGCAGGCACTTCTTAGTATTGACATGTTACTCCTCATCTTGGTCACAATATGCACTGTTGGAGGAACTTCAACTGCCATAAATAACTTAGGACAAATCGGAGCCTCCCAGGGGTACCCCAAGCGAAGCATGAGCACATTTGTTTCCCTCGTGAGTATATGGAACTATCTCGGTCGAGTCACAACGGGTTTCGTCTCCGACATCATTTTGTCAAAGTACAAATTCTCCCGCCCTCTGTTGCTCGCCCTCATCACGTTCCTCTCCTGCCTCGGTTACCTCCTGATTGCCTTTAACATCTCCGGCAGCCTTTATGTTGCATCCGTAATCATTGGATTCTCTTTAGGGGCAGAATCTTCGTTAATTACAGTGATAATTTCTGACATTTTCGGACTCAAATACTATTCCACACTGTACAATTTCAGAAATTTGGCAAGTCCAATTGGGACCTACATCCTTAATGTGAAGGTGGCCGGAAATTTGTACGACAAGGAGGGCATGAAGCAAATGTTAACGCAGGGAATCACGAGGAAGCCCGGGGAGGACTTGAACTGCACCGGAACTGAGTGCTTCAAACTAACCTTTTTAATAATCGCAGGGGCAACATTGTTTGGTGCGATTGTTACGTTTATTCTTGGGCTTAGGACTAGAAAGTTTTACAAGTCTGACCTTTACAAAAAGTTCAGAGAAGGGCAGAATGAGAGCGAGGCCGAGATGGCAACTGCTGGAAATGGTGCTGTGGCAGCGGTGGAAGCTCCCAAAACGGGCTAGAAGGATGTCATATCTTTTAATTCCATTCTTCTCTCGTTCGTTTTCTTTAAACTAAACATACTCTTAAAAGATAAGGAGAGGTTATTTCACTTTACTATCAAGATATACTGTTATTTTTATTAGAGATCATATTTAAAAATTAGTTATATATCAAAGTATTAAATTTTACCAACCAAGCCAATAGTCATA